TCTTTTCTCCACTGTATATTCTTGCCTTCTTTGTCAAAGATAAGGTGTCCAAAGGTGCGTGGATTCATCTCTGGGCTTTCTATTCTGTCCCATTGATCTATATTTCTGTCTTTGTGCCAGTACCATACTGTCTTGGTGACTGTGGCTTTGTAGTAGAGCCTAAAGTCAGGCAGGTTGATTCTGGGGGCTTTTTAACCGCTAATAACTATAGGGAAACAACTCTCTCTGTCTCTGTCTCCCTTCCTCCCTCTCCGCGTGCATATCTGTGTGCGTGTGCGTGAGTGTGTGTACATTCCTGGCTGTCTGAAGAATCTCTCAGCACGGTCCCCACGGGCTCTCAGGGAGATTGGCAGGCTTGCTGTGGGCTTTCAGAGCCCACATCCCCTCCTTGGCTCCTCCACAGACTGCTTTCTAGATCCAGGAGAGACTCAACCACGTCCAACCTTCAGGGCTTCTGGGGATCTATGGCTCTGGTGCCCCTCCCATCCCAGGCCTCCTTGTCCTCAGGGGCCCCCAGAAAACAATGGGGGGCTGAGGCACTACCTGCTGTCTCTGGGTGCAAGAATGAGCTCAGATGCCATCTGTTCACAGAGGAAACCTCTCTCGGAGTCTGTCCCATTGAAACTCATCTGAATCCTCTGCCAGTGCAGTAGTCCCCTTATCCCTGGGGATATGGTCCAAGAATCCCAGTGGGGGTGTGAAACCATGGACACCATAGGACCCTCTACTTACTATGTTTCTCCTATACATACATACCTCTGACAAAGTGTAACTTATAAATTAGGCACAGTAAGAGAATATCCGAATCGCCAACATCACTACCCTTGGGCTTTGGGGTAAGTAAAATTAGAAGTCCTTGAGTACAAGTATTTGATACTGCGATATTGGATCAGATAACTGAGCTGGCAACTAAGTGATGAAACTGTGGACAAGCTGGACAAAGGGGCGGAGTGGGACAGTTTGAGTTAACCACGCTACCCAGAACAGCACACAACTTAAAACTTATGAAATGATATTTCTGGAATTTTCCATTTAATATTTTTGGACCATGGTTGACTGCAGGTAGCTGAAACCTCAGAAAGCAAAGCTGCTGATAAATGGGGACTACACTGTACTCCAAGTCAGCGGGTGGGGTCCTGGAGCCATGATGGCTGCTTCCCTACACAAGGATCCCCAAGAGTAATGGGGATGAAAAGTAAAGTAATGCTTTTCAAGCTACATAGGACTTTACCTTAGACAGTTCTTTAAGGACCAGTGGGTTTTTCTTACACAGATCTTCCCAAGAGTTCTTGATCATGTTTGCTTCCTCTTCCACATCTTGGTCTCCAGGCACAGACTCTGCGTTCTGCAAAACAACCTGTTTTTCCCAATAAGGATGGCAGGTGTAAGTGCTTTTGCAAGGATAGGAGGGAGACATAAAAGTCCTTCCCCGTAATGTTGTGAAGGTGCCCCAGCCACGCCAGCTCCCATCTGCACACCACCACCCATTCTGAGGGAAAGCCGCAGGCAGGACTGAGTGCATGCTGACACGACTGTGATACGCTGGACAGGAAAGCATTGGTTTTTAAAGAAAATAAAAAAAGACTTGAAGCCCAGAGGTGTCAAGATACAACAAATCCCATTTTCTACAGGATTTCCATGATCATGGGGGTGGGGGAGGTGCTTTGCCACTGGAAGATATTCAGGTCAAGAACTGACACAACAGACCTTTCTCCTATCTGGCTCCCGAATGACTGAGGGGTGAGGTGTTACAAGCTGACTAGTTTTAGGTAGTCCATGGCTGGCCAGGGTCACAGGGCCCAGGCCAATGCTCCTCCCCCTCCTCCCCTCAGGGCCCGGGGTCCTGGGGACCTCAGTAACCCCTCTGCCCTGAGGGTGGGTTACACCATCTCCAGGCCCTCTGACTCTGAGAATCAAGGTCACTGCACACTGCAGGAATTAAGCTGTGAAGCCAGCCCCTCACCTGTCCTTACAGACGCACACTTGGACTCACTCACCGATTTCTGCTTCCAGTAGAGGCCAGAAAATCTGGCTTTCAGTTCCCATAAGACACTGGTTTCAATGAGGAACAGCAGGATGAGGTACACGAGCCCGGAGGCGGCGAGGGCTGTCAGGTACTTCCCCATCCCGAGAGACTGCCAGGCGTAGATGTCCTCCTGGACCACGTAGCCCTCTGCTACATGGGACAAACGGACACGATCTGACTACACAGAGCGGCTACATTCCTACGATAACAAATGTCATTTAAAAGGAGCATTATTGTCATCAGCGTGGTCACTGCACCCCAGCAGATGGGAAACACATACAGTATTCTGCTTTTCTTGCTGGAACCAATGTTTAGCAAAAATTATGCAGTAAAGTAAAAAGACTTCTCCCTGTCCACATGACAAGTTACTTGAAATGCAAACTATTTAAATGTTTGATTCTTTTATCAATTATTAATCACCCTGTAACTTCAACTGACCACTCATGCAGAAACACTCGGCAGCCTCAAGTCTCCTATTTTAATCTGATTTGCCTTCAAATTTTCTTTTAAATACATGTATTTTTAAATTATACAATACACACTCATTGGAAAAAAAAGACACGTCTGAGGTAGAGTCAAGGTACTTCTCCTCTCCCTATAGCTGTTTTGTGTGTGTGTGTGTGTGTGTGTGTGTGTGTGTGTGTGTATAATATAATACTTCCATACTCTCTGGATATAATCTTTTAAAATACAAGTAGACTGATACTATGCATTATCTTCTCCAATTCATTTGTTTTGTTTCAGTTCAGTTCAGTTGCTCAGTCGTGTCCGACTCTTTGCGACCCCATGGAGTGCTGCACACCAGGCTTCCCTGTCCATCACCAACTCCTGGAGCTTACTCAGACTCACATTCAGAGACTCAGTGATGCCATCCAACCATCTCATCCTCTGTCATCCCCTTCTCCTCCTGCCTTCAATCTTTCCCAGCATCAGGGTCTTTTCCAATGAGTCAGTTCTTCACATCAGGCGGCCAAAGTATTGGAGTTTCAGCTTCAGCCTCAATCCTTCCAATGAATATTCAGAACTGATTTCCTTTAGGATGGACTGGTTGGATCTCCTTGCAGTCCAAGGGACTCCCAAGAGTCTTCTCCAACACCACAGTTCAAAAGCAT